CTCTATTTATTGTATCTCGTGTGTATCTTATCTATCAAAAAGATAGAATAGAATGATACTTTCGAAACATCGTTTATTGAGTCTATCATCATCATCATCACTTTGATTATTGAAGTTCACTATATTCTTTCCTTTTTCTTCTTTTCTCTTAATGATAGAAAAGCTTTTTCCGCTTAAGGCAAGAAAGCCACTCAAAATGCCGTTTTTTTCCTACGAAGACAATCGCTTCCATTAGATCCTCAATCGTGCATATTATTCTTTTCTTATATTCGTATGAATTAGTACGAAGAGATTTTTCTTATTTCCAAACAACACGATTATTTCAGATCAAAGTATCTATATATATATTCATATGGATGATCGACGATGGATGACTATTCATCATCTGTCTGTTGTAAGTCATTGTTAATCTTTTAAGAATAAGATAAACTAAATCACCTTTTTTCCGAAGAATATACATATTTTTTTCTAAATCCTATATAAGTTTACATTGGATTATATCTTTATTATCAGAATAAGAACATAGAGCAATTATATTAAATAAATTACAAAAAATATCTTCTCATGATATGATGTCTGTTGTTAAGAATGTTGTTGTAAAGCACATGAAGGAAATGAGATTCAGTATTATTTATGATATAAAACAGAAACTAATTAAACATGTTCCAAAGACAGAATCGAGGTTGGTTTAACAAAATATGTTTCTTTCTAATTTAATATTTCTATAAGTCTCAGTTATTTAACGTTACAGAATTAAATTTCATCAATGGAATTCTTTTACTAAAAAAAAAAAACTTTCAATGATTTTTCTTTAGACAGTGATTTTGCTGATGACGAAGTTGAAACATTAAAACGTTATAAACCTCGAAGTCTTGATGAATTAGCAAGTCGAACAAAATTTAGTAAAAAAGAAATTCAAGTTATTTATCAAGGTTTTAAACAAGAATGTCCATCAGGTATATAAAAAATAGGTGAAAATAAATGATTATATTTATTTTGTATAAAACATTAAGGAACTGTTGATGAAGAAACATTTAAACGTATTTATGGGCAATTTTTTCCATTTGCTGATACATCAACATATGCTCATTTAATATTTTCAACATTTGATTTACGTTCATCAAGTTTTGTAACATTTGAAGATTTTCTTATTTGTTTATCTACATTATGTCGTGGAACAATCGAAGACAGACTTAGATGGATATTTTCATTGTATGACACAAAAAGATCAGGAAAATTAACAAAAAATGTAAGTAGAAGAAAAAAAAATCTTCGTTTTTTCGGGAAATTTATTTCTCTTGTATTAAGGATTTTCATGTAATTATATGTGCTGTTTATTCTTTACTTGGTAATGTATCAAATCGTAACTATGATCATGAAACTATTCGAGAACATACAGCTATTGTCTTTCAAAAATTTGACAAATCACAGCGAGGTTATATTACTGTACAAGACTTTATATCATTCTGTTCGAAAGTAAGTTCATTCATATGAATGAAAAAACTAGGTTTTTTTTTCAAATACTTTTTAGGATCCAGCAATAATTCAATCAATTGAATCATTACGTACAACTGTGTGATGAGAGGTTGCATTCCATACTTGATGTGTGCATTTGTTTTTCTGTTTATTTAGACATTGATTGAAGTTTGTAATCACATCTAATAAAACATTTTCTATTTTACAGTCACATTTCTAGATTTGATAGAATTAGGCAGATAAGAAATCTATCTCAGTTGTTCTTGTGAAAATGGAACAGAAATATTCGTGTTTATTAAAATTATATAGCACAAAATTTTTCTATTACTAAAAAATTAAAACAAAGGAAAATCACAGGAGAAATTTCAAGAACATCATTAAACTGTATGATTGAATATATTTCAGTTTTTTATTCACTGAAATAGCTCATTCGATCAGTTTCCGATGAATTATCAAAGGCGAACATCCGTTGACATTTTTAGTATACAAGTTTATTCATAATCTGTATTATAGATTCAAAGTCTATTCTTGAGTTTAGATGTATTCCAAAATAATTTTTTACTCTCTAAGTTTCTCATGAAATATATTAAATAACAAATAGTTTAAGTTTAATATTTATAATCTCGTAAAAAATTTTGCATATATTTTTTTGCCTCTATAAAACTCGACAATCATCTTAAATCAAATTTTAAAAAAAAGAATGGGATCAACTTCGTAATGCTTGTAAACGTTTTTCCATCTCATCTTCTTCACTATCAACTTCAGCTGTTGCAATTGTATTTGGTAGCGTAGGAAGAACATTTGGTAATTGATCAAGTTTACCTAAAAAAATAATCATATGAAAATCTACAAATTCTTTTTTTTGTTTACCTCTAAGAACTTCATCCAATACTTTATTGACTTCTTC